ACACACGAAACAGAAGTGTGTATCAAAGCACACAAAGATGGCCAGAAAGACGCAACAGCCAAGTGTCCAAACTGTGCCAAGAAACATCATGCCTGGAACCTGGCTTGCTCTGTCAGAAAATAGGCAGTCATTAAAAAGCAGGAGCAAGCCAAAAAGCGTCCTGACTTTGTCCCTGCGCCCCCAGGCACCTATGTCTGGGGTCAAAATAAAAGAGAAAAGACTCCCCGACCTCCTAAGAGGAAGGAGTCGCCCCCACAGCCAAAACTGGATACCTCTAACAGAGAGGAATTCCCCAAGCTTGCTAGTGGCAAAACAACAAAAAAAGAACCAAAGGGAAAAGGGTAGTCTGTCAGGACAGGCTGAAACTGTGCAGCAGAAGCCCCCACTGCAGGCCGAGTCTGTGCAGCCAAAGTCTGGTCCCTTGACCCGAGGTGGCACTTCCAACCAAGGCTCTACACCTCTCGGTAGACCCTTAACCGGAGTCTCACTTAGAGGAAGTTGTACAATCCTCAATCAATGAGGATCTATATTTATCAGATGCCACCAGCACTGGGGCATCTGAAGCTGAAGCAAGTGACTCTGAGTAACCATCATGGCACACAATCTAAGCATTCTGCAGTGGAATATCTGCAGCTATAAAAGAACTCCTTTCTCCAGTCAATAGTGCGAGCAAGGAGCATTGACGTCGTCATGCTCCAGGAGACACTAACTATGGGATCTGTGTGCTTCTCAGGATATCATGCCTTCACCACTCCAGACCTGGATGGTGCTAGAGGCCTGATGACCCTGGTAAGAGAAGCAATCCCGTGCTCCTTAATAGCCAACCCGCCGCACTGTGGAGACGGTGTTGAATCTCTTTCTGTTGAGATTCAGCTACCTGGGGGCCCTATAAAAATATATAATATTTATAGCAAACCACTGTGTGAGAGCTTAGATCTAAACCAGGTCTGTGCTACCGCAGCACAAAACCGAGTGATCATAGGGGGAGACTTCAACGCACACAGCCATGCTGAATCCCCGCAAAAGGCCGAACGCGGCAGGCATTCACATAGCAGAAGTGCTTGAGACGTTCCCTGAGATCGCTCTTCTCAACACCAAAGAACCAATGCATGTGAAGGGAGGGGTCGAAGAACTCACCTTTGCCACTGCAACAATGGTGGAGAGAATTCGGTGGTATGTCGATGATACGGTTACTAGTGATCACTACGGCATAGTCACCACACTAATGGATGCAGGTCCAGCCCAAAGACCACATCACATTCCTAAATGGAAAACAGACATATATATATGTGTGTGTGTGTGTGTAAGTATGTGCATTTACATATACAAACATGTATATCTATACATATGTGTGTATGTATATATATATATATATATATATATATATATATATATATTATATATATGTGTGTGTGTGTGTGTGTGTGTGTGTATTTACATATACATATATGTATATTCATATATATGTATATATATACATATTTTACATATACATCTATTAAATATATATATATATATATATATATATATATATATATATATATATATTATATATATATATATATATATATATATATAAATATAATATATATTATATATATATATATATATATATACATATATATACATATATATATATATATATATACATATATATATATATATACATATATGTATATATATATATATATAACCCCGACCCCGCCCTGCAGCTCAGAATACTTCCCCCAGGTTGGGTCCAGGTCCACAGCCTGTCCTCTCGCCCTCACCATCAGCAGCTTCTCGACGACGCATACCGAGACCTGATTGGTTGACCACGGACACCTCACGGCTCGCCTATTGGACTGCAGGCTCCCCTCGTTCCCGTGTGGCTGGCACAGCTCATACCCACTTAAGCTCCCGCACCCTCCAGGCTAGTACAGTGGTAACGTGTCGGCCTCTCATCCGAGGGGTCGGCGGTTCGCGCCCCGCCCAGGCGCGAGAAGTTGCAATTGTCGCCCGGAGGTTACTGCTGTGGCTGGGCACCACGGTGGGTAAGGACTAAGCTCTGTCGCGTCAGCACTTGCTGACACACGGTGATCGAGTCGACATTAGTCGGCACAGGCCGGGCTCCCCCATAGCCCGGGCGAGGCTCAGCTTCGCATATGACTTATCCTTATATATCCGCACCCGGGCCGAGTTCATCACTCACAATTCTCCAGCCGAGCAAGACACAGCAAGCAGCAACAAGGCCTACCCAGGCCTTAGCTGACGGGTGAGCCACCCCGGCTCTCCCCGGCGATCTCCAGCACATCAGCCATACTTGTGGGCACTCACACCCAAACGCTTCATAAAGAGATGATTGACACCAGTCTATGGCGGATACCAATCCATTGCCATACTGGTGACTTTCCGGAGTGACAAATACCCAGCCTTCTGGAGTATCACGGTTATCGCTCGCTCGTTTAGCTCCCTCACTGGAGGGGGAGCACCTGTAGCCGACCGCCGCAACCTGCAGTGGAGCATACTTCCCCCAGGTTGGGTCCAGGTCCACAGCCTGTCCTCTCGCCCTCACCATCAGCAGCTTCTCGACGACGCATACCGAGACCTGATTGGTTGAGCACGGACACCTCATGGTTGCGTTTATTGGACGGCAGGCTCCCCTCGTTCCCGTGTGGCTGGCACAGCTCAGACACACTTATGCTCCTCCGCACTGGGCCGAGTTCATCACTCACGATCCTCCAGCCAAGCAAGACACAGCAAGCAGCAACAAGACCTACCCAGGCCTTAGCCGACGGGTGAGCCGCCTGGGCTCTCCAAGGCGATCTGCAGCACACCAGCCATAGCACTCACACACACCCACCCAAACTCCTTAAAATGAGAGCGGATACCAATCCATTGCCATAATATATATATATATATATATATATATATATATATATATATATATATATATATATATATATATACTCATCTATATGTGTATTTATGTGTGTCAACAATATGCAGATCCGGATGGGTTGGGCTTCACACCTAGGCATTGCAGCTGCCTTACTTCCTGGCTTTGTACCTTACTTGATCAGCCCAAGACTTGCTCTTCCGGCGACCAGCCCTTCGTCATGCTCGGAAGAATGGACACCAAAAGAATATGGTACCAGGCACCTCCGCCAGCAGGACAAGGAGTCACTGAATTTAAGGACGTCTCGTCAGGCAGAGAGAGAGAGAGCACCAGAGGCAGACTAAGGCCTAGCAGAACAGTCACAGGACAGGAGGTCACCCTCCTTGCCTCGGCAATCGGGGCATTGGGTCACTCTCGGGGGTTACACCTTACCTTCCCCAATAAACCAGCAAGACAAGACCCCTTTCATTTTCCACCACCCATACGCCCCCAACCTTATCACAACTGGTGGCTTAGGTGTGAAGAACTTCACAACGCCAAACGTTCCTTAAAGAAGCTCCATATCCCAGAGGATACCATTAAAAAGAACCAAAGGTTGATGCAAACAAAATCAAAAGCAGAGAAACCAATTGCATATGTTTCATCATTTCCGCAAAATCTACTATTTGATCTGTAGAATACGGCGTTCAGTTATTATTGAAAAATATTTCCAAAGAATTATTGTAGGACTTTAATAATGAATTGCTGAATTGCTTGGGACTCTTGATAAATTATTCACGTCATATGTCATAACATTTGCGCCAAGACTCAGCTTTTATCTGATTATATCTCATCAAAACTCTTAAGCTTCTGGGCTATCAGCCTGCATGCGGATCACGGGTGGGTAATGTTTTCCTTGTCATATGCATTTTTTTCGCACCAGTTTAGATGCGCCAATATGCATCTATATGGCGCATCCACCCACTCCAGTGTGCTCCTTTAGCAATCTGTTCATAGACATAAATATCAGTTTTCCATGGAATTATTCAATAGAGAAGAAATATCTGAGATTAACCTTATTTACCTTGATATGATTTATAAGATTTGTTAGTGTTTGGACTTACTGTCTTCCTTTTGTCACTAATTATCCAACGCGCATAGCTTTCCCGCCCTGAGGCACGTGTCTCTTTCTGAGGACTGAATTTTTTAAAAATCCCAACGGCTTTGTCAACAGATGGTAATTCGCGCGTGATCTTCTGATCACAACAAATCATAGATGCTGCGAAGCTTTGGACTACCTCTCTCTGAGGAAGTCATGGTGTCAAAATATATATGGATTGCCTATCGTCAAGAAGAACGTGGTTTTATTATGTTTGCTGCCGTGAATAAATGACGCCTGGAATTTCAAGCGACTCGGCTAAATCGAGTCGTGTGGGTATTGTCATGGGGACTTGATCATACTGTATGTTCGTTTTAAAATGTTTCTATTATTATAAGAATGTGTTAAAATCATGTTAAAATAAATGATACATTCTTTGTTTCTGACAAACACCATATAATTAACCTGAAACAGCAACATTCTTCCACATGTAATCCACAACTGTTTGTTTACCTAAGTATTGCTACTTATACAAAGAAAATTACTAAATACTGTACTGCATACTGCCTTCATGGGACATGCGGCAAACATAGATATCTATATTGATGGAAAGTTAAGCAAGTAGGTGCAAATAAGAAAAGTATAGTTACGACCAGCCGAAACGTTTCTTTCTTTCTTTCTTAATGCTAAATAGAAATATAAACAAACTAGAGAGAAATCATGTTTTATTAGCATCTGACGCTTATGCAAATGTGTATATCGCCAAGACTTTTCTTATTGTTTTGGATAATTTTTATCTAGCTATTTGCAAGCTGGAATTTGAAATCATTATCTTAATCATTCGCTTGTTTATTCGTTGATTCATCTTGTTAGTATTTGTGTATCTACATACATTACAGGCTGTATTTACAATAAAATATCTGCCTCTCTTGCGTAAGTTTGTTCAGTAACAACATTTATTTCAGCTCAGGGGCAATTGTTCGGAGAAAAGATGTACACGTGAAGGGAAATCTCTCTTCAGTACTGGATGCCGCAGGATCAAGCTCAGCGTTTTTTCCCGTAGGCCGCATGGGGCACGAGAGGTGCCATTGGGAGGCCATAGGACACGACGCTGTGGTGAATCTGGCCCGCGGGGATAGTGGCAACATGGTGGGTTTGGAACAAGGCCGTTCCGGGGGTGTGGTACGTCGCCGTGACCGGAGCCTGGTACGTGGTCGTGGTTGGGGCATGGTACGTGGCTGTTGCAGGGGCATGGTACATGGCTGTGGCAGGGGTGTGGTACGTAGCTGTAGCTGGAGTATGATACGTGGCCGTTGAGGGAGACTGATACAGGGCCGTGGCAGGGACGTGGTACACAGCTGTTCCTGGGACGTGATACACGGCTGTAACAGGGGCATGGTACTCAGCTGTCATATGGGCATTGTACAGCGTCGTCGCGGGTGCTTTATAGGTGGCTGTGGCGGGAGCATGATATGCAGCTGTGGCAGGGGAGTGGTACGTAGCCGTCGCAGGAGCATGGTAGGTGGCTACAGCAGGAGCTTGAAACGTGGCGAGGGCCTGGACTTCGCGTCTGCATACAACGGGGACTTGGTGGAGAGCCGTGAAGGGAATTTGGTAAGTACAGGGGACATGATGCGCTTGCGTGCAGAGTGTAGTCAGCTTCTGCATACAAGGATAAGAGGGAGGGAAAGCATTGGCCACGGGTGTAGACAAAGGACTAGCTAAAGGATACGCAGGAGAGAGAGGAGGAGGATAAGTAGGCATTCCGAAGGGGAGGACACCTGCCTCTGCTGTCGGCGCTGCATCTCCCAAGGCTAAGAGCGCACACAGGACGGAAAACTGCGGGGAAAGAAGATTTGTATCACTGTTGTCACTGTTCTTGTTGTTATCATTATTGGTATTACTAGTACTACTTCTGTCAATATCATTATTACTATTGATATTATTATTATCATTGATATTATCTCTTGTTATTATTGTCATTATTACTATTATTATTGTTATTATTATAATTATTTTTATTTTTATTGTCGTTATTATCATTACTATAATCATTTTCATAATCATTGTTACCTTTATAGTTACCATTATTATGATTATTATCATTATTGCTATTGTAGTACTGCTATCATTGCTATTATTATTACTACCATCAATGTTAATATTATTGTTATTATTTTTATTATTAGAAGTGTTACGATTTTTGGCATTGTTATCACTATTATAACTGTCATTATCACTGTTATCATTACTGTTGTTATTATCATTATTATTATTGTTATTGTTATTATTATCATATTATTATTGTTACCATTATATTATTGTTACCATTATATTATTATTATTAATATTACTATCATTATCATTATTGTTACTATCGTCATCATAATTACCATTATTATCTTTATTAAGAAATTTATCTTTTTCATCATCATTATTATTGTTACCTACTTCATCTACTATTAAACAGTAGTAGTAGTAACCTTGCAATTATCAGCATGGCTATTATCATTATCATCATTGTCATTATTGTTACTACTGACATTATTATCATTATCTTCATCATTACTTTTTTTTCTTTTTATGCTTTGTAGTTATTGTATTTTACTCCATGTACAAGCGACCACGCGCGCGCGCGCGTGTGTGTATTTTCATTTGTATATATGATAGATGATATATAAAAAAAAGAAAAAAAAAAAACATTCACAAGCACATATTCATCAGGCACCTTAACGCATCCAAAGCACACACAACCCCCTCAAAAAAATTACCTATTCTCCCCTTATTAGCATAGTCACACACACACACACACACACCTCTCGCTCACCTTCCCGACAATCGTCAGCGCCAT